ATGATTTTATTTAAGCTCAATGGTTATGCTACCTACATACTGGACACTCACTGAATAGCTGACATTATCCCTTTAATCCTAAGATTTAGGATGGTGTGTGTGTGTGTGTGTGTGTATGCGTACTCATTCATGTGTTTGCTGTTACTAGATTGCGCTTCTGTATTGTCTATAAATAATGAAGAAGTTAGCATTGTTTGAACATCTTCGACCCGCAACACAGCGAAGGTTAGCGCACAGTTCTCCCAGCACACACACGCACACACACAAAACCCCCAAACCTGCTAACATGTGCTAATGCTTCACTGATTAAGATGCTTTTATTAATGCTGAAAACAAGCACATCCACCATGTTTGTGATGGTGCAAGGCAGCTTTGATTTCTCTGCCAAGCATTGTGTTGCAACACCTCAGCTGCAGCCACAGGAGAACCATCTCGACATGTGTTTATGTTTCTCGGAAGCATCACGCATGTTGTGTTTATGACACCCTGGAAAGAAATAAAGGAACGGGGTGAAAGATTGACGCTATAATACGTGAACGCTGAGAGCATTTCACGCAGAAATTTAAGGACACCAGACAGCTGAGAGTTACACCTAATTACATTATATCCAATGTGACATGCATGTGGCATACCTGATTAATAACAGTTGAAAGCAAGATGAGGTGCGTAATCACTGCATTCTGAGATAAGTCTTCTCTGTATGGAAGCAAATCTCTTCTCGCTCTTCCTGTTGACAAAAATGCACGCAAAACCGATTCCATTGGAAATCTGCATTGGAAAATGTGTTTTCTGACTCGCAACTGCATATTTTTGACGAGCTCTTATCACTTAATCACTGCAACCAGTTAAGTCGTGTGTGATTTCCTTGTATTATCTCAACCTGACTCTTTGCTCAAAGATTGTGAGACGCTGACATTGCTCAAAGTTCGTCAGGTTCGTGCAACCCCTCTGGCTGCTGTATGCATGACAGAGAAGTCAAGTTTGAGGAGGAAAGTTGGATAAAGGATGGTGAAATCTTTCACCTTGGATTAAGTACAAGGTTTTTCAAGTAGCCACAACAGTTGATGTCATATCATAGCAAGATTCTGTAAGGTTACGGGTGGACGCACTGGCAATAAAACCTCAGTGAAGATCTGACTACTGTGTTACGTCCTCTCAACAGGAAGCATCCGATTGTTTTATGTCTGACCTTTATTTGGAGAGTGATAGTGGTTGATAGCTTGTCACTTTTCTGAGAAATTGTTGCTTAATGCAGAGTTTTAATGAGTTCCAGCTGAATACTACACAATTGTGAGATTCTTCAAGCAAGTGCACTCAGTACTTTACTTTCCTGTGCTTGTAACATAGCTGCAATCTCATCTTCAGATGATTTAGACTCAGAGTGAACAAATCTGCTCTCACATGTGCGCAGCAGCCCTGAACTGTTCTCGCTATTATCCGGTTGAGCACGAAAGAACCAAATGGAGTGTTTCCAGAAGTAGGACCAAAAGCGTGAGAGAGGATAACTTCAGACAATACCCAGGCTTAATTATTCCAACCTTGTCCACAGGTCAGGTGCTAAACTCGCTTCAAGGAAGCACTTCAAGCAAGAGGTAATTTTTGACTACCTTCCAACATTTGGATGGCAGGATCTTTTGCAGAGGACAATTCTGTGCAAAGAAACAAAGTCGGCTTCAGACATTGCTTCTAATACTCAAATGATTTCCAGTTGCAAAAGAGCAGCTGGAAACCTTCCCCTTATTATTTGTAGGTTAAGATTTCACACTTGGCTTCTACGTAACCTGGACAAAAATCCACCCGGTCATGGAGCAGTGTGGTGGAATGAAGCTAATCAAATGCTTTAACTGGACCATTGAACCAAATCTCCAGGCTTACCTGGGCTCAGAACTGCGGTTCAGCCCCACTGCCTAAAATCTTTTCCATCTCCGCCCTCGATAAAAACAGCAGATTCCATTGTTGGGGGATTAGTAGAAAAGGTTTTAAGCTGTTTGTTCCATTTCCTCCTCAGCAGAGGTGAGGCATGGGGGGGGGGTAAATCGGTTGGCAACCACCCAGCTGCGACACAAACACCAAGTAGTGGATATCACAGAGGGTAAGGATTGACCCCTCGCTCTTCTTGTAATCTTGTTTAGCCAGACATTCTGGGTGAAATACACACATTCAGCACATTTCTGCAATGATTTTCAATGGTTCAGTTAGACTGATAGCGTGAATGATATATTTATATGGAAGAGACGTGTGTCGGGGCGAATGTGTGCAGATGCAGCGCAAGAAGCGGAAAACGTAATGAGGAGCAGGGACGCTGGGGTGAGGGAGGTAAGAGGGGAAAGAAAAAGAGATGGAAAACCAGGATTCACTAAATCTTAATTAGGAAAATGAAAGCCGTTAACTAAACGACTGTTTCTGTGCATGTGGGCCCACTGTTCCTCGGGGAAGAAGCCCCTCGCCTTACTGTGACCCCTCCCTCCCCCTCCCCCTCACACACACACACACACACACACACACACACACACACACACACACATGCTGTTAGTGAATTTTAACTGGAACAGAATTAATATCCTTGAGTGCACGCATTACTTACACAGCAATTAGATTGGCCACAGTTTTGCGAGATTTAGTGCATGGATTTCAAACAAAGATATTTTTTTCTTTTTCGTTTTAACCAAGTCACTGCTTCTCTGTCTGCCATGATGTAAAGGGACGAGGACAAGGTCAACATCATGTGTGTGTACGCCCAGCCTAAAGCTGACCAAGAATCAGCTCCCTGATTCCCAGCCATATAATTACATTTGCTGGAGGAGATGGCTTGTGTGTCTCTCTCTATCTTTCCTCTGTCTGATTTTCTTTTCTGTCATCCTCTTCCCCATAACAGTGCCTCCAGCTTCCACTATTAGTCACACACACACACACACACACACTCCTGCAGACCAGTGACAACCTTTGGCCTGCATAAGGCAGTGTCTAGTTTTGGCTGGCACACATGCAGGAGAAGCGTGCACACTGGGAATGCACATTAACAGACAAGTGACAATGCATAAACAGTCATGCACAGCGACACACACATTAGCCAAAGGAGTGCAGGGTCACGGATTGCAGTGTCCTTACATCAGGACCTGACTATTAATGCGTGGCGACAGATAAGCAGCCATGGCAATCCCTTTAAGGGTCATACTCCTCTCTGGTTGGTGCCTGTGCTTAATTTATGCCAATCTGTACGCCCGGTTTATGCAAATGTTGTGGTTCTGTTTGAACCAGTGCGTGCTGAGTGATATGAAGGACTCAATCAAGCTCACAGTGTCTGTGCAATCTTGCTCTGTCTTTGTGTCTCACCCCATTCTGTTAGCTGAGTCTCAGTAAAACGTTATTTTTTCTTAAATCTCTGCTCTATTTCGTTCAGTCCAATCCATATACAAGGCTCTGGGTAATCAGTACTGTATTTTGTTTTTGCATTTGCCTCACCTGTCCAGAAGGGGGCAGCAGCTAATCTCTGGGACATTTGAGTAAGGACAAAGGCAACAATCTCACCACCAGCTGGACTGAATTCAGTCTAAACAGTGACTGACACTAGACGTGGATCTGAACCCCCAAAATGACATTGATAAATATGCCGACCACCCCAAAAGTCAAGGGTGGGCCTTTGTAAAAAAAATAATGCCTTCATCTCCAATGGTCACTGCAACAGTCTCCGATGAAGACATCCATTGTGATGCTGTCCAATGTTTAGTCATTCGAAATTCATTGGCCGCTTAAAGATGGGACACGCACAGTGTGGGCTTAATCAAGCTCGATTAGAGACGGCGCCGCTCACTCCTTAGTTCCATTTGACTTTTTTGAACATCAGCTGCCTCACCTCTGACCCCAGTCCTCCCCCTCCTTCCCCCTCTTCGTCTATCAAATCCTTTAATCCGGGTTCCTGCATGACCCCCTCCCTTTATCCTAAAACCGGGGTACATGTCTGCACTCTGGCCCCGTGAAATCGGTCAGCCAGCATCCCTTGCTAGCCGTGCTGGGAGAAGAAACCCCGAAGAGGAAGCGGGAAAGCGAGCGCACATGGCTGCTGCACACAAAGGAAAAAATGAATGTATATTGAAATGTCAGCACTGAGTGAGCTGACGGGCTGCAGATGAACTATCAGTTAACTATCACGCCTGGCGTAAAAACAACCTATTATTAGGGTGTTTAAAAAGCTTGCAGACCATTAACCTCACATCTGCTATTTAATCATCTTTACTCCAAGCCCCGCCCCTCCCAACATGATGTCAGGATGACTGACAGGCGGATTAAGGAGTCCAGAGCTAAAAAAAAAAAAGCAGAAGTGGGAGGAAACCGGTGGAATGCTAAGTGTTTATAATGTTAAAATATTGTATTAAATAATATAAATATAAAACTTATGCATTTGTAACATTAGCCTGTACTCTTTGTTCAAAAACCACTAAAAATGGTTTCCAAGACCACAGCCCACGTTTTTATTACGCATAGCTGGGTAATTCCAGGTAATTCAGTGTAGTGAAATCTTAGGTGACACATTAGTTTACACAAACTACCGCAGTAGTATTGTTTGCTCAGCCTACGTGTTCCTCCAGCCTCGTAAAAGGCTTGAATAACCCGGCCACTAACCCAGGCTCTACAGCCTGTTTTCAGATGATACAGGTTGATCTCATTTCACTTTTGTGTTGCAGGAATCCTCCTGGGATTCTGTGACTATTGTAATGACACGTTTCAAGGTCTTAAAAAACACATCTCACCGAGTGACAAAGCAGCATTTCTATAATAGGATAATAATGTGGCGAAAACACCGTAATTACTCCCTGACCCAACGATGGGTCCATTCCCACGCGCGAAATGACTCCTTATAAAACACACAAAACATGTTCGGTCAGTAGATAAAGTTAACACGCTCGAGCTGTGACTCTACTGCGAAAAGCAGGGCTACGTACGCGCACCTGTGTGCTGTGACATCACCACCTTTACCTGTAAGGCACTCGCTCTGAGCCTGCTCGGAGGGCGGGGCCGTGCGCGCTCAGCGCTTCAGAGCAGTGCATCCTCAGCCCGTCACAATTCTCCGTATCTCGGTGATCCTCTTTCCTGCGCTCGAGCTCCAGCAGTACGGCGCGCTTTTCATTTATTTTAAATATACAGATCGAATATGTTTTTCTCCTCCTCTGATGAATTTACTGAGATAATGTTAAACAGAAAACGGGCGGATTTTTGTTTGTAGCCGCGGGACAGGATCGGCCACATCAGGGCACACGGAGCGGAGAGGAGAGCGATTCTACGGCTTATTATAACCATTGGACGTTATTCGACGGTACTTTGGATTACTTTGGTGCGCACTTTGTGACTGGGGTACACCACAGATAGTACTACAACAGTTTATCCGCTGTTTCCCTTCATGTCGCTTTCATTTAGTGCGTAATAAAAAGCCCTCTTTATTTTCGGTGAGCGGGCGAACACTTTGCGCTTTGTGGACGACGGGAAACCAGAAACCTGTAGCAGAATAAAAGAACAGGACGCCTTTATTTCATTTCCAAACAATCACCTGAACTTGTTTTTTATCTCTAGTCCCCCCCCCCACCACTGAACTGGACTCAGACAAATCCAGGATCAAGATCAAGATGCACCGCAGCTGAACCCACGAGTCCGGGAGTCCTGGTGGTGAAATCGGACTGGACAGACCTCCAACCTCCTTGGTGCTGGACAGGAACTGAATCAAGATGACTCTCAGCGGTGCGATATTAAGCCTTCTCGCGTTGCTCGTCTTTCTCTCCGCCGGATCATCGGCTGCGACTCTGAGCGCTCGTAGAGGTGAGTTCAACTGCAAGGTGGAGGAAAGCAAAAAAGTCTGGGCACCAAGGTTGGAGCTCACTACTGACAGTCAAAGCTAAAGCGGGCATTAAGGCACGGCTTTTTTCACACTATAAATGTGTCAGTGTGCGAGTAAAAACGGTGCACAGCATCTTTACTGACGATCATGATAACAGATATCAAAACAAGCACACCTGAGGCTCTGGCAGCACATGCAACTTTAGAGGAGTTTGCGTGCCCGTATAGAGCTGAAACAGTGCTCCACAAACGATTAGCGATTTGGCATTTTAAAAGCAAATCAGCCTTTACCACAAGTTCAGGTGTCTTTTGTGTTAACTTCTTCTCTGCGCTGTTGTTGTTTTTTTCTTTTGTTTTACGCACACAGAGCGATGCCAAAGCTCTGCCTTCTGCCTTTATTGTTGCTTGATAAATGGTGATACTGGGGAAGCAGGCAGGTGCCAGACTTGTTCTGCTCGCAGCCAACAACAAGTGCACGGACTGGGCAGAAACGCCAGGCTGTGTGCTGGTTGATCCAGACACGTATCGGCTTTGAAATTTAAAGGGACAGTTCAGTCAAATGAGTTTTCTGCTGGAGGGATTGCTGCTTGTAGGGAATTTGTCTTTTTCGTTCGCCCTCCTCTGGAGAAGCCAGAGGTCAGAATCAGCGGCTCTGTGAGCTGGTAGTGATTCAGCATCTTCGCTGGGGGGTATTGGAAGATGCTCAGCAGAGAGGATGAAGACGGGCAAACTCAGTTGGATGATCTGGGATATTACCCTGCTGCACAAGTGTAGTTTAAAAAAAATGACTGTAAAGTAGTGGCATTTTTTTCTTTCTTTTCAACTCTGTATAGTTGGAAATATTTGAATTGCGAGAGCAATAATGCGAGGATAAAAGAGCCAGACAGATTTTGTATAGCTATAAGTCAGAGTGAACACAAGACAAGCCCAGGCTCTCTAACAAGCTCCCTCTTTGTGCTGTGACCGTCAGGGTCAGGAGCACAGACTTGCCAGCCTTTCTGTTCTCTAAAAAGCAACTGACAGTTTAAATGAAAAAAATAAAAAAAATGAGAGGAGACATCCATCACAACAAAATAAGAAGTCACAAAGAGCCATACTGTGTCCCTCCGGAGGCCGGATTGGTGCATGTGTGTGTGTGCTTATATCTTTTATATCTTTGTCCCTGTTGAATGTTTTCTCTTTGTTTACAGGTAATAAGTGCCTTTGCTATCTTCCTCCACTCCCCTTTTCAATATTTTATGCTTGCTTAAGCTCCTTTCGTACTCTATGTAGCACATGATGGTGTTTACGCGCAGATGCAGCGAGGAGGAAAAGATTTAGAGGTTGCGTCACTCTGCCCATTGACCATTAGCTGCCTGCACTTCAGTCACCTGACTGTGTTAATGGGCTTTAGCCCTGTGCTGCACTGTGCTGCAGCGCTTATTGTGCTTTAACCCTTTGTTTTTCCAGGTGTGATCAGCCCGCATCTAAATCCGTCCTCTTGACACGTCTTTGCTGTCGATCCGGGTTCCTTTGGCGGAATGAATGGAGTGCCTGTAACTTAGCTCCCTGGCTCTGTATTATTATGCAACTGTGGCCTGTGGCCTCACAACAAATCCAGTTGCATAGCTCTGATAGAGAGTGGGGAAGAGTGGGAAACAAGCCGATATGTTGCCCCACAGAGCAATGCGTCTGGTTTTCACAATAAAGCAGTTGTAGTTTAAGAAGTGCATCAATAACTCCAGTGTCTCTTCTGGTTTTTGGGCAGATCAGAAGCTTTGGAGACGAGATGCCAAGTGCAAACACGCAGGGCTTATGTCTTCATTAAAAACAACAACATTGTTTTCGTTCAGAGAGCTGAAGTAGTTCCTGCCCTCTGGGTGTGTGTCTCTGTGCATGCTTCACTGTTTGGATGTGTGTTATGATGACAATGGGGGACTCTTATGTAAGACAGTGCTGTTGTTAAGGAGCAACTTTTCAGGTGATGTGTGTTTGTCTTGAGCTAGATTTGCACGTACAGTAACATTTTAGCATGGCATCCTCATGTCAGATGCTATTCTGCTAATAGACTGCAGATACTGACTATCATTCAAAGCCAGCAGAGAATGAATCTCAGTGATTTTGGAGTCGTGGTGACTTTTCATATGGCGCCATCAGAAGGTCAGACGTTCCAGTATTTCAAGACTGCACTTTATGCGAACAGACAGGCAGACAGTCATGCCTCACATTATCCAACTGTCTTGTGAAAAATGTTCTTTTCTGCTTTCCTCGTTGCAGTTATGATGAATCTGTTTTTATGGCGCTTGTTGGATGTGTTTATCAGCTGGTGCTGTGGTTAATTAGACTGATGTGGGACTGTAGCAGTTCTCTGGGTAACTGTTGAGGGAAAAGTCATAAAACTGCTCGGCTGAAATTACACGCTAAATAATGAAGTCACTGGGAGAATGTCGGATTTTAATTGAAAGAAATCACAAACAAGGCCGTGTAGGTGGTCATCATTTTCACTTTCACGAACAGATTTCGATTTTTTTTCTCTACACCCACCTTTCCATTGTGTTTATGTGCATATCCGTTGTGTGCGCTCCCCCTCTGCCAGCTCCAGTTGCACTGGTCTAGCAGCACTTTTAATGCTCCTCACATGAATCTCATTAGGGTGTCGGCACACATGGGAAGGTCTCTCTCCCAGTGGTTTGGTGACTGTGTGGATCAGGGTCCGTTTACAGAGTGGGCTAGAAGAGTTTGGTCTAATTTGATGAGCTCGGTTAGTCGGATACTATGCAGGTATATAAGCGTTATGTTGCTAACAAGGCCACCCGGCGTCCACCTACTGTACCACCTGCTTGCCTCCCAAAAACTATACTTTTTCTTTGTTTATTGTAAACAGCAGCTTAACACAATCTCTTTTCAAACACTTTTCACTTCACTTGCCTTTAGTGAGCAAAGATTTACTACTCGATTGTAGTTTTTTTGTTGTTGTTCCTTGGCTGGTGCTGACTTGTATGTGGAAAACATGGTTGGTACCATCATTTAATATTAAGTGTGTTTTTGGTTGGGAGATGGATGAGTGTGTGGTCATTGAAAACTGGTGTGGTCTTTGGACTTGTTGGCAGAAGGTCAGCTTTTCGATGGATCTTGTTGATTAAAGGCTCTCCTTTCATTGTCTTTGCTCCAGTTGAACTAAACCGTGAAAGAGTTTGGATTTGAGAAAGGGGAAAAATGCAGTGCTGTGAAGGAAAGCAAAGGAAAGCAGTGCGCTTTGTACCAAAATTCAAAAGGTATAATATTTATATCCTGAATAACTTGTTTTGATTATAGTTGTAAGCCAGAATTTTAAAAATGCAGTTAATTGCCAAGCTCCATGTTGTATTTTACCTTCTGTGTATGTTAATAATTTAAAACAGAACATGTGTTGAAACTCATTTCATCTGACTTGATGTGGCCATTGTGCATTCGTATGACTCACACTGTTACCAGGAAAATGATTCTAAAATTTCTCACTTGGAGGGCTTGGTAGGCTCAAAATTCTTGTTACTGCGGTATATCCATGTTAGAAACATGCCTGGGGATTAGGCCAGGAAGAGAGGAACTACTAAACTAACTGAAGCAGGCTTTGCCTGTGAGGGTACATGTGGACTACAGTAGATTATGTGTTTGTGTTGAGGATGCATTGTTAGTCTCCCACTGGGGAATGTGACGTGGTTTTGCAAAGACAAGAGAATATCTTCTTTCTCATTCCCGTATCCCATTGTCTGTTTCTCCCTCATTCATTGTCTGCCCTTCATCCCTCTCCTTCGTGGTAGTGAAGCTGATGGGGCCTGATGCAGTTGAGTGGTACCATGGGAGTGGAGAATGGCATCAGAAATGCTTTTAGCGCTTCTCTCAGTTTGGTCTGATAAGCTCTCGCCTCGGCTATAGCTTGAGTGCAGAGGAGGGGAAAGCTGTTGCATTTTAAAGTCTGCCTTCCAGTCTCTTGTTGGCTTCATCAGAAACACCTCCTCCTGACGCAAAGCTGATTTCTTTTTTCGTTTTATGTAGCAATTTGATATTCAAATCTTAAGATCTTCTCTTTTTTCAACACGTTTGCACTCCCAAAGCGTAGCATTTTATGCCAGGTGACAAATCGTCGATATATTACGCTTCCGGGCACCCAACACGTCCCTAGGTTACGAGTAACGTAACGTTTTACTTAGTGTTTTCCAAAGCGATTTAGCATCATTAAAGTGCTGCTTAAGGTTAGGGATAAGGTTAGGGTTAGGGCTGGAATACACGGCTAGAATGTGTATTACCGCAGGAGCGTCATTCTACTGGATTTCATCTATAACCCGGCGCGTAGCATAAGAGCACGGACGGTCACCTTTCGCGTTCCTCAGGAATGCCACGGGACTTGACAAATCTTCATTATATCAAGCTTCAGGAGTTAGAACAGACTGCTTTTTCTCCCCATTTCCCCATAATTTGTTTCTTCCAGTCACTTTTCTTTTTCCTGTTATCTTCTAAATTCTCAAAAGACCTTAAGCTAACGCTAAAGCTAAGCCTTAAGCTAAGCTAAAGCTAGCTGACTCGCACACCTACATGGATTTTTCTATAAAGTTAGTTTAAAATATTCGTCCAAAAAATGGCAAATCAGTTGAAATGAAACCAAAATTTGCTACACATGAAGGGAAGAAAGGGAGTCAAAGAAGGGAGGAGAAGATGGATAAATTCTCATTGACTGTTAGCCACCTACAGCAAATACTCTCTCACTCCTTCTTGCTGTCGTCACTAAAGTTCATTAGCTTCTCATACGCTCTGACTTATAAAGCGTCCTCTATAAAGCCCAGACATTTCAATTCTGAGAATTACGTTAGCTGCGCTCACGCACTTGTTTGTCAATGGTCAGCCCACACAGTCGCGCCTTGACTGGACTCTGTCAGAGCAAAGGTCAAACCAAGTCAGATGTCAGAAGCCACGCACACACCCACTGTCTCTCTTTCACACACACATGCATAGTTGACACAAGCAGA